GGAGACCAATGACCGTTGTGTCATCTGCAAACTTTAGGAGCTTGACAGAGGGGTCCTTCGAGATGCAGTCGTTGGTGTAGATTGAAAACAGCAGAGGGGGGCACCTGTGCTTATTGCCAAGGTGCTGGCTGTGGTTTTCCCCAGCCTCACCTGTTGCTCCCTGTCTTTCAGAAAGCTAGTAATCCATTGACAGGTGGAGGCAGGCACAGTGAGCTGGGTCAGTTTGGAGTGGAGGATGTCCAGGATGATGGTGTTGAATGCTGAGCTGAAGTCCACAAAGAGGGCATTGGTCCCTGGGGAGTTGAGGTGCTGCAGGATGTAATGCAGTGCCGTGTTAACTGTGTTGTCCACTGACCTTTTTGCCCAGTAGGCAAACTGCAGACGGTCCAGCAGGGGGTCAACGATGTCCTTCGGGTGGGCCAACACCAGTCTCTCAAAGGACTTCATAACTACAGATTGTCAGGGCGACTGGTCTGTAGTCGTTCAGTCCACTGATGGGGATTTTCGTTCAACAGATAACAAAGCTCACCGATACCGGGCTATAATGACTCAGTTGTTAAGGGGACATTGTTGGCCACTGAAGGACTGAAACACCACCCAAGGGGATAAATATCTCCTGCTCAACACCAGTCGGACAGAACTGAAGAAGCCTCTTGGATGAGCGATAAAACGCCTTCTACCTAAAATCAAGTCCAGGTGATTTTTTTTCTACGTTTTTTTCAGATTAGTTTAAGCTACATGCACAATAAACTGTCTGCTGAGTGCATCTCTCTCTTCACCTTAAGGAAGAAAACTGACCTGCTGGGGAAATATTTGTTGCTATTGAGAAGACAGGCAGCTCCGTCCAGCGTGTGCCTGGTGTAATCAATGGCAGGACACTGTGGATGCAGCAGCACAAAACACACACAGCTGTCAGGAAGTGCAAACCTTCAATTTAGATCCCACAGACAGGACAACTGGATCATGCTTATGTGAAAGTCACAGTCAGACTGGTGACAAAAAAACAAACTGTAAATGAACCAAAGTGTTGATCACCTCTTTTGGTGTCTTGTGGGCAGCACATAAAAAGATCCACTGCTCTGTGGCCGTCATCTGGGTGCAGGTGTCTGGATGGCACTCGGTCTGCAGGAGGAAAAACGAGCATCACCACAGCTGACAATGTCAACACAAACACACCTTCAATTTAAATTTAAATTTAATTAGTTTTAAAATGTAATTCTTTCACTAATCTAACAGCAGAACCCCAGAGTAGAATCCTAAAGTATGTAGTAATAGTCTGATGGGGACATGACAATTCTGGTGTCCATGTTCTCTTTAACATTCAGATCTGTTCTAACACAAGAAAAACAAAACAAATTCATCGCACCAAAGTACTTTCAAATCTGAGACCTTAGAGTATGTGTGTCTGGGGAGTCTGAACACCTACCTGCAGTTTCACTGCTAGTCCATTAAGCTCCAGACAGAACTGCCTACAGACAAACACAAGGGCTCAGTTAAGAGACAAAAGAGCATGAGTGAGGAGTCCTGTCAGATCTGACTGAGCAGTCAACTGGCATGACTACCTTAAATAAGATTTAATGCTTTAAGACCTTTTTAATGCCACATAGAATCCCATTTAATACCTGTGTCAGTCATAAAGTCCAAAGTAATCAACAGGGGACACATTCATTCAGTAATTCCCAACAGCATATAACAATAATTCCCCATGATACAGGATTAAATTACTATAAGTTGGAATGAGATAAGCAGAATAAAATGGATGAATGGGCCAATCCAAACTTACAAATTAATTTAAGTTGTTGCTAAAATAAACACTTGCTGAGTGGATGAGCATCCCCAGACTCAACTGGAAGTGATCAAACTTTCACTACACTCCTACATTGGTTTTTGTCTCCCAACAGCCCACAGCCACATACAACACACTGTATAACCAACATCACTGCCTACAGTAGACAGAAGACCATATTTAAGACCTGTGTAAAGTAATTTTAAGACTTTTAAGGCCTTGTTTTAGGAAATGAATTTGATGGTTTTAGGACCCACAGACATCCCGTTTAATATTGTTAAGAGGTTACAAGTTAGTTGTGATATGACAGCGCCTGCGTCTGACTCTCATAATCATCTATCCACCCTGTCCATAAACCCTAAAGCTGCTTCTTATTTGGACAGCATGCTTGAGAGTGCCTCTTCTAAAAATCCGTTGGTAATCAACAGACCCAAACCCATTTATCAATAAACAATATTTGGTTTCCCTTCAGCAGAGGCCAGCATCACTTGGTATCAGCCGAATGACATAGCATTCTCAGAGATCAAATGAAAAACTGTGGACCAAGCATTTTGGGTCTTTTATTGTTTCAACTTACCTGAGGTGCTCATACTTCCACACCCCTTCATCCTGACCCTCAGGAGGTTCCAGGATTTTGTCGATATTGGAGCAATCTGATCGAATGTTCTGCTGAATGTACTGAAACAGAGCCAATGAACACGTTAGCAGAGACTCTTGCTCAGGGCCACATTACACTACAGCTAGTGTACTTGTACTTCACTTGGGTTTTTCCCTTGTCTGCTAAGAAATACTGCACTACATTTATCTGACAGCTACAATTACATTTCACATTAAAAGTTTTAACAAAATATACATCATACATTTATAAGGTATCACACAATTTCAAAGTCCAAAATTTTAACAGTTCCATGAATTCACATAGACTCATTTCAGGAACTGTTCACAGCTGAAATAAGTGAAAGTATGCCAGATATACACTGATCAGGCATAACATTATGACAACCTGTACATCTGTATGCACTTTAGTGCAACACTTCTGCCTTAACATTTGTGTTTATGAAGCTCGGAATGTTTCAGTTTTTGGTGAGATTGCTATAAGTGTATAAATTCATTTCTATGTTCATTATTGAGGTCATAGTTAAAGGTGGTGTTGTAGTGGACTACATTATATTCAGAGGTGTCTCTATATTTTTGCCCTGCCCATTGACATACATGAGAGGGTCAGAATATTAGGAACACCTCTGTACATAAGTAGTACCAATTCTTTTAAGCTGAATTTTGAATGAAGGACTTTTACTTGTGGAGAAGTAGTTCCATACTACTGTACAGCTACTTTTTAAAGTAAGGGACCTGTATACTTCTTCCACCAATAAATACCACCCACCCCTTTTCTTCTAATATTTGATTTTCTGTCAAGTAGTGGATTATTTGAACAAAACCATGTGAGAATTTTGGAGGGTAACAACTGACACACAGCTGAAACATGACAAGGAGTCCCAACAAGACACTGAAGTCTTAATCTGAAAAGTAATTAGTACAGCTGTAAGATAAATGCAGTGCAGGAACAATTTCCATACAAATTTTAGTAAAGAACAAGTATAAGGTCACAAAATGAAAACAATCAAGTCAAGTATGAGTGCAGTACATGAAAATATGTACTAGGTTACTCTCCAACACAACACACCACCATGTACAACTGCCAGCGTTAAATTACTGATGAGGCTGGAAAACACACACACACACCTGTTGGACAGCGAGGGTGCTGTCCATCTCCTCAAATGACTCATCCGGCCAGTTGTAGAAATCCTACACATGGAGGGAGGGTAAATTTAGTCTACGCTGGAAGTGAACAAAGCTTTGTGACATAACTAGCCTTATTGGATGCCAACTAACAATAAGGGAAACATGACTGATATTAGCTTACAGTTAGGCAGTTATCAGGGAAATTAAGGGAAACTCAACAATACGGAGCAACCAATTCTCATTTTTTTATCCACTTACTGTTGTGAGAGGGTGTTAGACATACAAGTTAAATTCTTAAGGCAAAAGCCTACTTTCAGATTTGACACTTACTTATGAAAGAAAAATATCCATCCAAAGAGAACAGGTCTAGCTAAAAACTCCTACATTTATAGGACTTCTAGTGCAACTGTTTAAAACTTTCAGATCTCTGAAACCTTTAGTCTAACAAAAAAAGAGGCAATTCCACTGAACCACCCACCCTCTACCCTACTCACACACCAGTCCATATCCAAAAACATTTTAATTAGGTTTGTCAAATTTAGGGGATATTTTATAGACTGATTAAGACAGTGTCGGATTTGTGAAACCTTTATTCCATTTGAAAGGACAAGATCATAAAACGTCACTGCTGTTTTCTTCCCGTTCATTCACGTCTAGGTGAAACAAATTACACCTAGACGTGTCAAATCTGAACTATTTTAAAGACTCAGTAAGAAACATATTCAGATGTCTGAAATATTCCATTTGTTATGATAAAAACAAAAATGGCGAATCCGCTGTTTTTCTCCCAATCTAGAACTCGTCAGACCAGGACTAGCTCAAGAACCACTATGCGTAGACTTGTCAAATCCGTACTAGATCAACTCAAAGAAGCTAGAGACGGTTTAAACCCGTTTCAGATTTGTAAAACACACAATTTGGAAGCAATTTTCAGGGCAAGTCAGACGTTATTTCACGACAAGACAGATAACTAACTAACGTTATGAACAAGGGAGACTAATATAAGCTAGCTAACTGTCAGGTTGAAGTTTGGTAACAGGGAAAAGATTTACTAGGAAATGTTACACCGTGACAAAGTAAACAACCACATTTTTCTCTACATTACACACAGCTACAAAGCTAACGTGACGCTATTCAAAGAACGAGGATACTGCTCTTCCTGTACAGCTAAGAGCATATAAGCTACAATAATGCTACCTTGGTCACCTTTCTGTGCCTCGGGATCGTTTGTAAATCTTTATTTGCCAGACTGGCGTTATAATTATTTAAGTAACGTTAATAATGGTTAAGATACCACACACGAAGCTCCGACAACAACTGTCCTTACTCTAAGAACTAGACGAAGCAACAGCTAACGTTAGCCAACTCAGCTAGCTATGTTCAGGTCAGGCCCTTCCTCTATTTCCTGTGACCAATGTTGTCAATAAAAGACGTGTAGTAAAACAACTCAAATGAGACAACACCCCGAAATAGTGGAGACGTATTTTCTGTGATGTTGTAATATTTATGTGGGATAAAAACAAACCTTTGCCTTGGTTCCAGGCCGATTCCTCCTGAGAACTGCTGTACCCTCCGCCATGACCATCTCGACAGAATACCCGGATGTTCACTAGCCGCTGTGTTGTAACAGTGGGGTCACACCAAATGAACACGAAGCCGTAGACTGCGGTTTATGATAGTAGTAGTAAAGTTTATGTACACAACCATTCGTACTTGTGCACTGTACGTAACTACAGATCCGAGGTGCTTCTACTTTGTAGAACAGTGGAATAGAACAAACCCTGGACCAGATCCTCCGTTTGAAGTTACATTTCTGGTAAAGTGCTCCATCTGGTCGATACGACCACAAGAGGGTGCTGTTTACAAGAGCGGCACGAAGATACAGTGGCAAGAATGGTGATACAGTGGTTAGCATGCTGCCTCACAGCAAGAAGGTTCTTGGTTCGAGTCTCATGGCCAACCAGGTCTTGTCTGTGTGGGGTTTGCATGCTCTCCCTGTGCCCACATGGGTTTTCTCTCATTACAGCATATATACCCTTTATAAGTGGCACCTTATCCCTGAGTGGTGCTGACAACTTTAGCTTGAATTTGTCAGCATTAATCAGTACTTAAATCCTTTCCCCCCCCAATTAGAAATGTTAGGTGAAATAAAGCAGGTATATCTTGCACTAAAGCTCCAGATTTAAGATGCATCCATTTCTGTTGGATGGATTTATTGTATGTACCATTCATCTTGTACTATTCACATATAACAAAGCAAATTCCTCCACTGACAAGGCCCACGAGATAGCAGCACAGAAAAGACTAGTAACTACAGTATTTTACAGTAAATAAACTGCGACTATGCACGTTCATGAGCCAGAAAGACAACCATCGACAGTTCACCTTTATTATTGTAACAAAATGTGATTAGAATTATTTACATTTGAAACATAGGAAAAAGAAAACAGACATGAATGAGGCAACTTCATATCTTCTACCCAAGGAGGACAGGGACTTCACATTAAAACAATGAAGACTCATTCAATATATTTGCCGAGGATATCTCCGTCACGGAACAGGAAATAGTCCTGGAGGACAGGATAAGAAAACAAGAAGTTAAAAATCAACAAGGCACAGAAACAAAGATCTCAACTGAGATTCAGCCGACAAACCGACCTTATCTTCCAGTACAATTTTAGTTCCACCGTACTCTGGTAGAAGCACTTTCTCTCCGACTTTCACACTGACTGGCTGCATGTCCCCTTTCTAGAAAAACATCAAGCAAACAGTTATACACTTTTATTTAAGAGTAGTAGAAACATGGCAATTTACTTATGGATGAGAACAGAAGTGTTGGCATCAAAATGTACTTTAAGTTCTCTATGTATATAAATTTATTGGCGCATTACTGTGTTCATCACTTTGAAGCTGCAGCTTATTAAGAAGGACTAATTTTAATTACTTTCCATACTGCGGGATATCATGCTAATTCCCCACAAGCATCAATAAACTCTTACCTTAGGAAATAAAAAAAATCAAATACATATAGCACAGCAAAAGTACAATATTTCCCTCAGTGGAGTAAAAGTATAAAGTAGCAGACATTTTAAATACAAGTACCTGGTTAGTAAAGGATTTGAGTAAATGCATTTTCCACCACTGGTTACATTACAAATAAATATCTACAATATATAAATATAAATATGTCTGCTGTTCTGGGTTTTCTTTGATTTGACTAACAGTGTTTTTCATTATCAGTTCATCTGTGCACAATTTTCCCAATTAATTCATTCACTGGCTGGTCTATAAAATGTTTCCTGGACCTCACAGTGATGTCTTAATGTTTTTGTTTGGTCTGATTAACAAGGCAAAACAAACAAACAAACAAACAAAAATATCAATAAATAAGGAAGGACTTTACAAATGACTGACAATTAAGCAATTATCAAAATAGGTGCTGACTAATCTATGAATTAATGGTTAACCATTAATGGTTTCAGCTTTGGATCTGACATATACCATGCATGAAACTGTCCTAAGCCAAACAGCAACTGTGACTGTATCTAACATTTTGTCCAGAAATAAGCACCAGCAGCAGGTGGATAAGTACCTTGGTGACAGTGCCAGGTCCTACTGCCACAACTGTGGCCTGCAGCACTTTGCCCTGAGACTTCTCGGGAAGCATGATGCCCCCCTTCGTTACCGTCTCTGCTGTGAAGCGCTCCACCAGCACCCGGTCAAACAAGGGTAGGAATTTCCTGAATGCCTGTGCACACAGACGAAATGAGCCAGTATTATCACCTTACATGTCAAACACCACTGAAAAGAGCCTTGAGATTTGTTGTAACAATAGCACCACTAGGGGCTGCCTTTGTATAGCAGAGAACCCAGACTCTGTGGACCCCTGACCCCTTTACTTTGGTTTTATGGTGGGTTTTGCAACATCTGGAACCAGATACTGCCGAAATAAAACCTCTGTATGATTCTATGCAGCATAATATGGCAAGGTCTATAGTCTGTCAGCTGTCAGTGGTGGAAAGTTTAGGTGCTTTTACATCCGTGTTGTGGAACTTCACACTCCAAAGTCACCACATTTCTGATGAAAATATCATGTTTTAGCCACTACATTTATTTTACAGATGGTTACATTGCATATTAAAGGCTTACTTTTATATTTCAAAAACCTTTCTCTGCTAATACATGTACTTTTAATATTTTGATTACAGTAATTGTACTAGGAACAGTGTTCTTTCACCATAGTACTGCTACGTCTCCCTAAGTATCTGAATACTACTTCCACCACTGACAACTGTTATTCAGTCCCAGTTAAAAAAAAAAAAAATGCACCAGCAGCTTGGGTTTTAGTTAAAATGTAATTAAATACTACAAACTGGTTAAAACACAGGAATGATTCATCAGTACGTGTGGCTGGTCCACTGGGAAATGCAGAGAAAAGTCCAAAGATGAGGAGGAGTGGGATAAGGCGACAGTAAAACCTGTCTAAACAGTAAATGAGGAGCTGCTTCACAAAGGCAACCTCTGTGAAGTCTGTTATTACAAAACTGCACAACTTTTCTTCATCATGTCAAATTTTTCAGGGTAATGTTGCACATGAATGAGGGAGGACAGTGGTTTAACAAGACTCAAAACACCAGCTGGCCACAGTACGAGAACAGCAGGTATACCAGTAGCCTTGGATGAAGGAGAATTCCAGTTTGTTGGCTGGGCAGAGGAGGTGGGGTTACTTCACTTTTACACAACGACTTTTGAAAAGCTCAAGACAGGGATGGATACGGCTCACAACACACTTTGAAGATCAGTCATAGGAGTTTTGAGACTAAGGAATCAATCACAAACACTAAAGCTAAGAAAACAGCCTTGACTGCTGATGACATGTCCTCCAGGGTTTTACCAGTACAAGATAAGATTCAAGGCCAGTTTACCCAGTTTTCCAGAATCTTCTCTTTCCACTTCATACTTTGTATGAGGTGACACAAGCTGCATAAGATGATTAACCTAATTTTCAGCTGCATAAACGTAAGCTGCAGTTTGTTTGAATCTTTTGTCCACTTTGTGAAAATCAGTGAGGGTTAGTGTTTCTCAGAAATATAGAACCATGGCCTCTCAAATTACCATGTTTGTGAATTTTAAAAAAACATCACTCAAAAAGGGGTAGGATAAACTGTATAGTGGCTTTTGATGTTTTAACTAAGTATACCTAACAAAATATTGTGTATTATACTTTTTACCCCATTACATGTTTAAAGCTTTAGTTATTACAGGTGGAAAATGTGCTGAGATCTTTATTTCTGTAAAAGTTCCAATACCACAAAGTAGAAATACTGCAGTGAAATTTTTACTTCCTTAAAAGCATCAAAATACTTTTAAAGCTCCATCAGTAAAAACACTCATTATTTATATTGATCAAAAGTCAGAATAATACATTACTGGATTATAATTACTTAATACTGAGAATTTCTAGGTACACAGATTGCCTGTACAGGAAGGGCCAGAGCCGCCTCCACTTGTTGAGGAGACTGAGGTCCTTTGGTGTGCACAGGGAACTCCTTCGGACATTTTATGATTCTGTGGTGGCATCTGCAGTTTTTTATGCTGTTGTGGGTTGGGCAGGAAGTACCACAGACTGGGACAGGAAGAGACTTAACAAGCTGGTTAAGAGAGCAGGTTCTGTCCTGGGCTGCCCTCTGGATTCCATCGAGGAGGTGGTGGACAGAAGGATGCTGGTAAAACTAACATCCATCATGCATAACCCCTCCCAACCCCTGTACCACACAGTGGAGAGACTGAACAGTTCTTTCAGCACAAGACTGCTACAGTGCTAGAAGGAGCGTTACCGTAGGTCATTCCTCCCCACAGCAATCAGACTGTACAATACATCACTGCAGGGATAAGCTAGGTGAAAGTATGAGGGACTATGCAATAGTCAACTGAGGTGCAATACATGTGTGCAAGATATGTGTGTGGTGTTTGTTCTTATGGTGTTTTGTTGCTGGAACACAGGAATTTCCCCACTGTGGGATAAATAAAGTCCTATCTACCTACCTTGTAGTACTCTACTTAAGCAATTCCATTTTAAGGTTGTTTTTTTCTACTCCACACTTTTTTCTAGTGCTGGATACTAAACTTCAGTAATTTTGTGGCATTGATCAAATTACTTCAATACCACCAAGTATTAAAAAACTTTTCTACATTTTCTATTTGTTAATGTTGATTAAGAGAACGTAAAGTTGTGGTAAATAGATTTCCTTTTTATGTTATGAAACTGCATTGAGTGCACAAAAATGCCAAGGAACTGAAACATAATATTAATTATCTGTACCAAAATGCATAATATGTATTTATTGATTAGCTGGTTTTTATAAAATTGGTATCAAAGAAGTATTATATAGGAACTGGTAATAAAGTTAGGTATCGGTAACGGCACCAAACATTTTCGAACGATACCCAGCCCCACATTTCAGAGAAAATGTACTTTTTACTTGACTACATTTGTTTTAAATATACATAAATATTAAGACAGTTCAACTGATAGTCGCATTAGTCTAAACACTGGCCCTTCTAGACTTTTCGTTCACACACGTGACTGTTGCAGTCAGGACTAATTAACTGGGACATTGATCAGGACGTTGGCGGTCGATCCCCGACACCTCCAGCACCTCCTGTTCATATGAGTGTCCTTAAGAAAGAGGCTAGAAGTGCTGCACTTTGCACGGTAGTGTACATATGTGAATAGAAGCGCTATATAGACGCATTTAAATGTTTTAGAGCACTGTGAAATGCTAGCTGAGCCTGAAAGTTTAATATCAGTAAAGCTTGTCTGTCTTCTCGTCCAACAGTTTCATAAGATAAACATGTTCATCTTCAGCAAGTGTCTCCTTTTATCTGCTTGACCTTGTCAGTAAGCAATGAGCATGGCTAATATACCATTAGCTAGCTAACGACCGAACCAGTGGTCAAACACATTATGCCTTATTAATGACTAAAATGAGTCGCTCGCTTCTTCCTAACACTCTGTAGTTTCCATATTAAATTCTGGCATTTCGTGGATACAGTGTCTTACCATTTGTGGATGCGTGAATCTCAGCGTGCAGATGCAACCCGGTTTCTGCGTGAACGTGGATCTGATACACTTTGCTGAAGGGAATGACTCCACGTGAGGAAATCTCCAGAACGCGCATGCGTACTACGGTCCCCAACCCTTTTTTTAAATAAACTTTATTAACAATATGATTTATGTACAAGCTATTGGGCAAATGTGCCTTGAAATACTGAAAGACAAAGTAAACAACACATCTTGTCATCTTGAATCTTGTTTCATGAAAGAAATTGCTCAAAGCAGAACAATAGGCTACACTTAAGAATTAAAATATTATCACTTTTGATATGCTTAAATATCAATGCATAACTTAAGTATAACTGCCAAAAATTCGGTTGTTCCAACTTTTCAAAAGTGAATATGTGCTATTTTTCTTTTGCGATAGTAAACACAAAATCTGGGAGGTTTAACAGTTTGTCAGTGTGTTATAACTGGGCTTCAGAAAATACAAATGAGTATATTTAAATATTTCTTTTTTATACAATGAACAATCATTTGATTATTAAAGAAAATAATTGTCTGTAGCCTTTCATTAGGTAGGTAGGTAGGACTTTATTGATCCCACAATGGGGAAATTCCATCATTATTTCTTTGATGGAACAATACCATCTTATCAGGTCGTTTGAGATATTTGGTTTGTAAGACATGAGAAATCTGGCTATTTATGTTTTATATTTGTACACTGTCATACGTTTTTAGGTTTTATGGTCAGTTTTAAACTATTCCCAGTAGCCTACTGTTGCCTCTCTTTGTAATGTTACTGTGGTGTTAATAAAGTTGAAGTGGAAAAAACGACGCATGTCCTGAGGTTAACAGAAAATTCTAGTACACCTAAAGCAAACACCTGAAACTAAACATCTCTTTATATTTACACAGACTATGCAATGAGGTGTAAATATGTTCGGGCGATTTTAAAACAGTATTTTTTCTTTTTGTTTTATCCATCCGAAGTTGAAGTAATATTGCACAATATCACCTTTGACCTTCATTTTTTTCCTCCAATGGCACACGAGAAAATTCTGGAACTGTCCGCCCGGAAACGAGCATGGAAATATTTTATGAAATAATTATAATAGTAATGATAAACATATAATGATTTAAACATACGACATATGGCGCCATTTTATAGAAATGTAAGTAAAGAATTACGCGCCTGTATAATCTACAATCGGGCTTCATTAATAACTTTAGAATAAGACAGTTATGTGGGTGGGTTAGTCGTTATGCAGAGTGCGGGGCTACCCCTTAATTACCCGGATGTGATAGGCCATGTGCCATCTCCTCTCATTCGCTCCACACGACTGTCCTCTCTAGTCGTTAACATTCCGTGTTTCAGACCTTGTAGCATCTACAAGCTTACTTACCTCGCAAGTAAGTGCTGATACTTTGTGTTCTTTAGAGCTATGGAGCTAACATTAACATTAGGGCTGTCGTTTTGGTAAATGTTAGCTTTTTGTAGTCGGTTTGGTGTTGAGTAGGAGGTTACTTGAATCACTTTCAGGAGCTTTAATTACGCCAGTCTGACTAACGTTAACAGATGTGTCTTTTTAACTGCAAGGACCTGCATGCTAAAATGTTTGTATAACCCTTACATAGCGGGTCAACTGTTTCTTAAACTGCCTACTTAATTTTAAATTGACGTTTATTTAATCCGGAGTGTCGTGCTTGTCTGTTGAAACCCCTCTTTCAGATTGTGTGGACGGTTTTAATGCATGAACAGTCTTAAAAATAAGCCTCTCTCCCGAGTTACATCAGTGTTGACTAATTATTGATGGCACGGTTGCAGACTGTGAGGTTTTCACTCATTGGCCTGATCTGTTCAGGGATGTGGAAGCAGTTCCGCACATGCTCTCACAATTTGACCTTGTAAGTCACGTCCCGAGGAGAACACGTGGGTCCACAAGGAGCCGGTTTTGGTATAAATGTTATATGTCTACATTCTTAACTGGGGTGATCGTGTATCTGGTCTTAACTGGAGGAAGTCTGGAATTTACTATCCAAATTCATTAGCTTTAATAAGGCCGAACAAATGTTAGTTCGGCTCATTAATCTGTTGGACTACTCTTCTCTCCAAGGTCTTTTTACAAAAATAAACGGACCTCGTTAGTGGTTGTATCTATGGACTGTGCCCTGAAGATTTAGATAGGTGATATAAATCAATCTATTATTTTCCTGAGTAACCTTAAGAAAAGTGAAAATGGACCTCAAAGTAACATCTAATATCTTGTCATGTGTTATTTTATCTCCCAGTTAACGACTCAAAAAATGTATATAAGACGCTAAAACCAGTCAGGGTTTTGTATTTACGTTTAGGCTATAAGTGATTATTGAATTCTCAACCAGGTTTTTGTTGATCAACTGAATAATCATTGTGTTTCTAGTTGTGATGACTTGTCATATTTTCAGTTCCACCAAAAAAGCATTTCTTGTCAAAATCTCTCACAAGGTTAAATTTCAGGTAATATTTTTAAAACTGAATTATCTGGTGACCTCTCGGAGGGGCCTCACCCCTATCTTGGGGAAACCCTATAATAAACTCTAGCTAGCTGCATATAAAGGAGCTAAAACTAGCTCCAACAGTAGAATGATGTTTACACACTGGTGCATCAGATTTTATCTTCAGACATTAACTGAAGCTGTGGTCTGAGACATGTCTCTGTCTCTTCTTCCCACAGGGATGTTTCGTTTACCAGCAGTCATGAAGCAGGTGAGGCCTGTGTGCCGGGCGCTGGCTCCTCACCTGACACGAGCCTATGCTAAAGATGTGAAGTTTGGAGCTGATGCTCGTGCCCTCATGCTACAGGGTGTGGACCTGCTGGCTGATGCTGTGGCTGTCACCATGGGCCCAAAGGTATGATGAGGATTTATTTATTTTATTTTTTTTACAGGTCACAGCAATTCAAAGTGCTTTGTGAGTTCTGCAGGAACTGTCGTTTTGTGTATTTAGTCATTTGATGTTGATCATCACGTCTTCATCTCCACTCAGGGCCGCACTGTCATCATTGAGCAGAGCTGGGGTAGCCCAAAGGTCACCAAAGACGGCGTGACGGTGGCCAAAAGCATCGACCTGAAGGACAAGTTCAAGAATATCGGTGCCAGGCTGGTCCAGGATGTGGCCAACAATACCAACGAGGAGGCCGGTGATGGCACCACTGCCGCCACAGTGCTAGCTCGTGCCATTGCCAAAGAGGGCTTCGACACCATCAGCAAAGGAGCCAACCCAGTGGAGATCCGACGTGGGGTCATGATGGCCGTGGAAGCAATTATCAATGAGCTGAAAAAGCTTTCCAAGCCAGTTACCACCCCGGAAGAGATCGCACAGGTAAATGGGATGAGTAGCTAGCTAACATCTGGCATTTGTAGTGAAATGCTTTAAAGCAGCTATAATCCTTAATTTTATAATAACAGTTCATCAAATGGAAACGTTCACTCATACTGATGAACAGAGAATTATTTTACTAGAGTAAGTCTCTCCAGTCCAGTCTTACTTGGACTAAATAAATCAGTTAATTTTTATTTAGTTAATCCATCCATCCATATCCAGCTGCAGCCTGTGTTGCATGATTACTTTTAGGCATTCTTGTTTATATGTGTCATTAAGCTCATGCATGTGGTGGATACTTCTAGGTCTTGGCACCCCTGTTGGTTTTCAGTGATACTGTCATAATTTGCTTGTTACAATCGTGTAACAGGTATCAAACCGCGTCTATATTATACTAAAGTTTTATGGTGAGCCCTGTAAAAGAGTGAATGTTGGACCTAAATGAATCATGTGGACACAGACTCTGCATGAATGATTATGTTTCTCTGTAGCTGCTGAATGTGTAAATAAGCAGCTGCTTTATAACATTCGGCTGAAAAGCTGATGTCAGTGCCATCAGTTTCTGCGTTTTGAATTGTGTCCTTGCTCCTTCAGGTTGCTACGATCTCAGCCAACGGAGACGTGGAGGTTGGTAACATCATATCTAACGCCATGAAGAAGGTCGGCCGCAAGGGAGTCATCACTGTCAAGGTTGGAGTCTGTTATTAAAACACACTGGAGATCAAGTGACGCCTGTAAATGGCCTTTTGTTTGAGCTGATATTTTCTTTACGTTTGACACCTCAGGATGGGAAGACTCTGCACGATGAGCTGGAGATCATCGAGGGCATGAAGTTTGACAGGGGTTACATCTCCCCATACTTCATCAACACTGCCAAAGGTAAACATGTTCATACTTCAGGCACCACTCTGTCCACCTCCTTTATGATGTGTTGGGTACCAGCGTGTAGTCTGTCACATCCCTCGTCCAAGTCACTGCAAGAATTTGACCTCATTGTTGACTAATCTGACACAGTGACCATTTTGCCAGCTGAAGACCTCGTGTAGTCTGGGCTCAGCTTTACTCATATTTGCTGATAAAGCAGCACCATGTTTCTTTATCAGGTCAGAAGTGTGAGTTCCAGGACGCCTACCTGCTGCTGAGTGAGAAGAAGATCTCCAGTGTCCAGAGCATTGTGCCGGCTCTGGAGATCGCCAACCAGCATCGCAAACCGCTGGTGATTGTGGCTGAGGATGTGGACGGTGAGGCCCTCAGCACTTTGGTCCTCAACAGGTACGTCACATGTGACCCTGAGGAGACAGGTGGCACTTCTTATTACATGTTTGAATAAGAGCTACAAGCAGTGTCCACTTCATTCGCAGGCTAAAGGTTGGGCTCCAGGTGGTGGCTGTCAAAGCCCCAGGCTTCGGAGACAACAGGAAGAACCAGCTGAAGGACATGGCCATTGCCACTGGGGGCACTGTAAGTCTGCTCTACAGGCAAGAGCTGAAAGCCTTAGAAAGCTTTGAATTCACTTCTCAACAAAAGGCTTTAGAAGGTATAAAAATGTTAGATTTCAGAGGCTCAGTGTTTGTTCTAGTGTGTTACAGGCAGGATTTTGAAACAGGTGGGGTTTTTTTCCTGTTGTCAAACACAATAAAAACTGCTTTCTCTGCTCAAGGTTAGCAGATTTCTGCCTGCTTGGATTTGGGATTGTAAAGCAAGTTTCTGGTTTAATTCCATGTGTTATTAAAAAAGGTCTTTAAATAGTTAAATCTAATTTAGTGACAACTGCAAAAGCCTTGTCCGTCTCCACGGCTCAAGTTAAATTTCCATGTCGCTGTGTGTCTTGAGGACACAGACACTTTTTTTTGTTTGACTTGTCTTTTCCCTTCTGTAGGTTTTTGGAGAGGAGGCTCTGGGCCTGGCTCTTGAAGACATCCAGGCTCACGACTTCGGTAAGGTCGGAGAGGTGCAGGTTACCAAAGATGACACTTTGCTGCTGAAGGGCGGAGGCAGCCCGGCTGAAATTGAGAAACGGGTAGCGGAGATCGCGGAGCAGCTGGAGAACACCACCAGTGACTACGAGAAGGAGAAACTGAACGAGAGGCTGGCCAAGCTGTCTGACGGAGTGGCCGTGCTCAAGGTGCGTCTCAAACGAAAATGCAGAAGCCGCTGAGTAGTTCTACTGTGAAAAAATAAAGCTGTGAACCCTGTGCTCCATTTCAGGTTGGAGGAACCAGTGATGTGGAGGTGAATGAGAAGAAGGACCGTGTGACGGACGCTCTGAACGCCACGCGGGCAGCTGTGGAGGAGGGGATTGTACCGGGTGGAGGCTGCGCTCTGCTGCGCTGCATGCCTGCCCTGGACACCCTGACGCCTGCCAACTCTGACCAGAAGATCGGTTAGTGATGCACAGGCTCAAGTGTAACAAAGCCATTTTGAACATAATTCCAGATAAAATCTGCAAAGTTAATTGGACATTTCGATATCTAGAAGATATCTGCTGCTCTTAGAAAAGCACAGAATTTAGTTCCTCAAATTATTTTCTTGCCTACTGTAACATTAGGTCAATGAGGCCGTGGCTGGTCAAGGTGAGAGTGGTGCATGCAGGAGCATTTTATTGTATCATTATTATTGCTCCCAGCTGTAGTAGGTGGAGCGCCGTGACCTGTGTCCAGGTCACACTAAATGATTAATCACTAGACTGACAATAAGCACCAACAAGAATGGGGCATAAATGTGAATAGATTCATGTGTATAATAGATAATTGTAAGCCTTATTGGCCCTACTGGTTTTTTTGTCATTCTTTGACTGATTTACAGTTCATTCTTGTGCTGTTCACTGAACACTACAGACACTCTGTATTGAGTGTTTTTCTTAAACTACATATGCACACACACACAGAGGCATTAAAAACGAGCTGCTTCTCAGCTGATTCTTGTCACACAGCAGTAATTCTTAACAGTACGTTTAAATTGAAACAAATATTTTTTCTGATATCAGAGAAGCGGCTGTCCTTCCGATATCATTTCTGCACGTGTAGAGAAGATGCCAGATTTATTATGCATCTAATTGTATTCCTTCCCATTCCAAACAGGCGTGGACATCATCAGACGGGCGCTCCGGATTCCTGCCGTGACTATCGCTAAGAACGCAGGTGTGGAGGGTTCGCTGGTGGTGGAGAAGATTCTGCAGAGCTCACCTGAGATCGGTTACGATGCCATGCAGGGCGAGTACGTCAACATGGTGGAGAAGGGCATTATTGACCCCACCAAGGTAGGGAGCAGCCAACCAGGCACATTTTGTTCATATGGCACTTTTAAACTGCTTCACAGACAACTGGTGATAAAAACTGGGTGAGATTAATGCACACTGCAGGTTTTAACAAGGTGAAATGTAATAAACATTAAAACAAGTGTTAGCACTAAGTACCATCTAGGTCAGGACATAACAGGGCTTGTTGTTGTGGCCTGGTACAGGTGGTGAGGACAGCCTTGCTGGATGCTGCAGGGGTGGCTTCTCTGCTCTCAACCGCTGAGGCTGTTGTCACAGAACTACCCAAGGAGGAGAAGGAGATGCCAGGAGGCATGGGCGGGATGGGCGGCATGGGAGGCATGGGAGGAGGCATGGGATTCTAAGCCAGGCCTTCTGACTTGTTGCTGTACAGACTGATAGGCAGAGTGATGCTGGGGGTGGCTGAGGAACACGACAACGAAATCCTCCAAACCTGCAACTACCTCCACCAGCCTCTGCCCACACTGACTGACTGACTGCCCACCTCTTCTGGAGGAGCCTGACTCTGGAGCAGGTGGAGGAGACCCCAGTTATTACACTAGAACCATCAACATGTGCCCAAAACCCATAGCTTACCATGTGAAGCAGCCATACATGATTCTGAAAGTGGTTTAAGATGAAACTAATACATTGATGCTAAAACCCAGGAATGTCTGTTCTTTTGTTTTTGTTGTATTCTGTACATTTTTTTTATATCCATCTTGTTTTTTTTTTATGTCCCCCCCCCCCCCCAGCTAATATTCTGTGGGTCAAAACCTGGCATTTGATTTAATTAAACCAAATTTTAATGAGTGTCTGGTGATCGCTTGCGCCTTCATACGCGACTACAGTCAGATGCTCCTTACAGGAAGTCAGTCACCACAGGCCTGGTTAATGGAACCCTCTACAGTTTACCGAGCTCTCTGGAGCCTCTTAAATCTTTGGAAGTCATATGCATGTAGCATTGTGTGCTTCTGTTTTTTTTTTCTCTGTCCGCCTTTATCTGACTAATTATGGTCTGGTTGCGTGTGAGTATGGAGGAATTTGGTCCATTCAAGGTCTTCGCTGTGAAGACGATGTGAGAACCAGGGGTGTCCTCGGGCTGTTGACTAAATGACCTTTCGTTTCGGTGACTCAGCTCATTTTACTTCTCCCTCTGCTCGTCCTACAAGTCACAGAAAACTATACTCAATAGGTTTCTTAACATAAAAAGCTCAGTAGATAGTGTTAGTATTGTTTTGTACAATGTAGACTGTGATTGTTTTTTTGTTTTCTTTTCTAATTTAATAAACGTAATTGTTCTGATGCAGTGGTTAATCGGGCTGTTTTTAATACTGTCATCATTTTGGTGTTCTGGGGCTTTCAATCACATGGTCTTCATGGAGCTTTAAATTACAGATTTATAGTTTTCTGAACAATTGCTTGTGGGTCTAAAAGCTGAGCTTTAAAGTCAATATTGAGAAAATCAAACCACAAGGTTCATGTAGTAGCTTATCTGGAGCTTTTAGTCACATGGTCTTCAGCGGTGAGAGCTAATTTTTTCAGAGTTGGAAATGTTCACATCTTCAGTTTACTGATCACTAAGGCACTTCTCATTTGTGTTGACTTAAAAGGTGGGGGTCAAAGCTCATCTTGACTAATATATGATCTTCATCAGCAGGTGAAAACACTAAACCTTTAAACTGCAGACACCACCAGCCAGAAAGGATCATCAAAAGCTACTGAACAGATTGTGTAATTGCTGAATTAGCTGACTGTGTCTGAAACACTAAACAGAGCTTCAAACTAATAATGCCAGGACTCAACCTTATGATCTATGTTAGCTTGCTCTGCATTTTATCACAACTCTGTTGGACTTTGCTTCAATAGATCAGGTCAAAAGTCAGAAGGACACAGCAGCTGAGTTCACATCAAACCCTGCCTTCTGGCAGCAGTGACATTTCCAAACCCAAGAGAGTGTGCGTCACGCAGGTGCCGGGTCTATTCTTACCGCTCACATGATCCCCTATTTCTGTCCACTCGGGGCGATGACCACTGCAGTACAGTGCTGAGAAATGCACCCCAAGACAAACAAACATCAGTCAGTTCTGGGTTTTTTTCTTATAAAAAATAGTTTATAAATCATGCAGTTGGTACATCTCTGAAGGCAACACAAACATTTACACAGAGTTCTTTCCGTTTCCATGAAACACACATGCACATACACCCACTATCTTTAAAAGCAGTGTATACTTCTTTATGTGATCTTCAAACCAATATTTACGCTTAAGGTAATAAATACAATAAAATGAGTATAATGTTTAAAAAGAGATAAATATGTTCCCAGTGGAAGAGGAGGCACTGGGAGCGAAGTGGGTTGGACTGGTTGAATGACCTCACTGAGACAGCATCCTGACCAGGGCCCGCACTTATCGCACTGCTAACATCTCCAGTCAGATCTTTCACTGCTACTTCAACTCACCAAACTGAAGGAGAAAACGTTAAGCTTTTTAAAAGGCTGTACAACATGGCAGATGTTGGGTTGATCTTTTTTTGTCTGACTATTCCTTCTCTCTGATCACTTTTATCAGGTGACTACTCCAACTTCCTGCCAAGTCCGAGGAGTCACCTCATAAATGTGTCTTATTGCTCCCACTCAGTAAGAAACATTTTCACTCATGTCAGTACATTGTAAGTGTAATTCCTGCCAGTCTGATAAATACGGGCCCATCTGCTTGTGCCTACTCAGCTTGGGCCCTTACATCAACAGTGGGTTTACATGCTTGTCTTAAAAAATAACACATACTACATGTATTGCACACATAAGGAAAAAAAAAACCCTTAGTTGTATAATTTAGCATCTCATATGTCCAGCATGGCTCCCGTAATACTGTTGAGAGCACAGTGTATGTAACACTGAGAAGAAGACAAAAAAAAAAAAAATACAAAGGCACCATCTCTATTTAGAAATAAAGCTAAAGAAAAGCTGAGCACCCTTAGAAAGGTGAGTATTCCTGACAGTTTACAGTACATGTAGTACTGCAGTCTAACTGCAGTTGTCTTTACACCTTCACGGCCTCTTTACAGTGTCTAACCTGCCTCTGCCCTGTACTCTGAAAATATGCTCTCATAACATACAGTATGTGGTAGTCTGTGGTGAAATCATGTGCATCAGCCACAAGTTGGTTGGCTGTGACTTGTGGAGTTAGGTAGACTGTGCGTATACTAGGCTTGGGCAGCGTCTGTTTGGTTCACTCTGAAAGTCACTGTTACAGCCCGTAAGTGCTGGTGGAGACCAAGTGTATTAATGTCTTCCTGGGATTCAATGTTTTCACTCTAGCTTTCTTGCAGTAAACACTGTGAACAGCTGCGCTGGTGTTAGCTGTCTCACCTGTACCTAAACCTGGACCCAGCAGGGAGTCCCACATCTCCACAGGCTGCCTGCTTTGTCCTCCTGTGATGGTGGTGTGTGACATGCACTGGAACACATCACATTAACAGAATGCCCCTGTGTCAGTTTAGGTGAAAAAGCAGTGCATGCGTCTGACGGGAACTGAAAAACAGACCTGAACACCGAGGCACCGCCCGAGCCTAGTTCATACAGCTTACGCAAGTTGTTTTGTGCCCTTCATATACAAATCACATCACAGAGCAGCATCAGAACTGCAAATACTGTCTGGACCCTGGTCTGACATCATCACATTAATGCTACCGAAAAACAGCCTGGTTGAAATTAGCTCTTGGTTTCATTTCCATTCGTTAACCACAAAGGTTAGAAAACAGATCCTTGTTAGCAAGCTGCACTGCTACAACCACCATATAAATCTCAAAGGTTGTGATTCAGGACTGCAATTTTATGATCTGTTCATCTGCTAATTATTTTCTAAATTATCCAATTTCCCTATAAATGTTCAGAACCCTGTGACAAATGCCCAAAACCCAGAGAGACTCAGTTTACTGCCACACACAACAAAGAAACTCATCGAACGCTCATGTTTGAGACACTGCAACAGCAAGTGCTTGGCAACTGTCTTAATAACTGTTTCAGTCATTTTTCAAACCAAACTGATTCCAGCTTCTCAAACGTGATGCTTGCCGTCTTTCTTTGTCACACATGACAGTAAACCTTTAGGTTTGGCACTGACAAAACAAGACAGACATTACTGTGCCCTTTGAGAAATTGTGAACATCATTTTTTCCATGATTCTTTAACACAGGTCAAACAATGAACTGATTAATACAGACTAGTCAGTGATGAAGATAATTGTTTGTTGCAGCCCTGAGTTCCTCTGATTATTTGTGCATCACTTGTCATTTGGAAAACAGAGGTGTTACGTTTGGTTGACCACACCTAAGTCGAGCTCTCCCATCACAGCATCACAAGAAGTGTGCTGCCCTCAGGGAAAGCATCCTGGACATTATGGCTGCACCTGAACATGCAGTGGGGTTCACCTGGGAGAAATATTGTGCACAGCTCATTGTCAGCAGTGACAGGTGGCTCCATCTTTCTAATCCTAAAACGGCACAGAAATATTTATTGCATGCACTCTTGCATGGAGATTTCAAAAATAATGTTAAGAGAAGATGCACCTAACGTGTCACACCATCCAGCCGGACTACAGTACAGCTTGTAATCTTTAGTCTTTACCAAAACACTGCGACGTGCAGTATTTAAAAAACTAAACTACCAAAAATGTGTTCCCACTTTTACAAAGTGAGGGTTTCCTGTTTATGTAACACCAAACTGAATATTTTGGGTTTTTATTGTTAACTTCAAGTAGAGAAACCATGAAACGGCAAATTTTCTGACCTTTTATAAACAAAAGTAAAAGACTGATTGAGAAAATCATTGTCAAATTAATCGATAAGGAAACAGTTGCAGTTCAAACCCCAGTACAACGTCTGTGTCGCCAAGGAGAAAAGTTCACTACTGCTGCAACTAATGTTTATTTTCATGATCGATTAGCCTGCTGATGATTTTCTCAATTATTTGATTAGGCCTCGATAAAATGCCAGAAATTTGTGATGCCCATCCCAGTTTGAGAGGTGATATCTTCAAACTGACCAACAGTCCAAACCCCAGAGATACTCAGTTCAGTGTACCAGGAAATCTCCATACTTGAGAGATTGAGAACAACTTTTTTTATTTGTTTGCATAAAACAAAAATCACTTTAACAGCTAATCAATCGATTACTGGAATAAACAGCTCAGAGCTTGCAGAGTTTACCCTCCATCTATTTTCCTCCGCTTATCCAGGACCGGGTCGCGGGGGCAGCAGTCTAAGCAAAGATGCCCAGACTTCCCTCTCTCCAGACACTTCCTCCAGCTCCTCCGGGGGGACACCGAGGTGTTCCCAGGCCAGCCGAGAGACATAGTCCCTCCAGCATGTCCTGGGTCTTCCCCGGGGCCTCCTTCCGGTGGGACATGCCCGGAACACCTCCTTAGGAAGGCGCCCAGGAGGCATCCGAAACAGATGCCCGAGCCACCTCAGCTGGCTCCTCTCGATGTGGAGGAGCAGCGGTTCTACTCTGAGCTCCTCCTGGGTGACCGAGCTCCTCACCCTATCTCTAAGGGTGCGCCCGGCTGCCCTGCGGAGAAAGCTCATTTTGGCCGCCTGTATCCGGAATCTTGCCCTTTCGGTCATGACCCAAAGTTCATGACCATAGTTTACCCTATAAAGACAAAACAATTTTCACAAAGCAGGAGCCAAACATTTACTGAAGCTGTTTACTGCCTTATGACTTGGTGACAGAATGTATGAAACAAAGTTCAGCAGCAACAGGAACGCGTAGAACTGGAAACAAGCTGCACCAGCAGAGAGCATCACAGGAAGGAAACACCTCTACATCTGTACCACAGCACACCTGACCACTGGTCCTGATAGAAAGACATTTGCTGTACAGCAACTTGTTAGGTTTGTGCGTTGCACTGATCGTAGACTGGCGGTGGTTAGAACAGCGCAGTGAGCTATTGAGTGCAGCTGATGTTTACAGATGTGATGACGTAGTTGCTGACCTGTCATGACCGATGGTACTGCTAGGCCATAGTCTCACCTCACACTCGTAACCTGTGAACTCAGTTTCACAAACCGGCACAGATTACATGTGAAGTTCTGATAATGGAAGTGACTAAAGGCAAAAACTGAGGTGGAAACAAGCCTGTACATGTTTAGCACCGAGTTGAAAACTATCTGGTGGATCCACATCAGTTATAAAAATAAGATGTTGCTGGGAATGAATGTGGTCACTGTTGTGAGAAAGGCACTGCAGTTTTCAGTCAGAATACAGGTCATCTCTTTTCTCTGTACACTGCCTCCTCTCTCATCTGTCTCTCTGTCGCTGGCATTGGGCATTGTGTGTTTGTGTTTCTGTGTTTGTGCCGCTGGGGTGCCGCTACGTGTCATGAACCTCATGGAACATGAGCTCACGGGGGAGCGGAGTCTCTGGCCCGTAGACCTTGGCAGCACGGTCATCAAATGCAGAAACCATCTGCTTCACCACCTCGTCGAAGAAGATGTGAGTGAGGTGGGAGTGAAGGAGGGACCGAAACTCAAAGGAGATCTGAGGAGGGGAGGGGATAAAGTTAGCTAGTTTCACAATGCACTGTATACTGGTCAGCAGTCTGTATGTGTGTCAGAGTCTGAAACTAATCCAGTGAGAAATACAACCCTTGCAACTGCAGACGTGCCAACCTGAGACATGCAGAACAAGAGGACGCACACAGAGCAAAGGTTAAACCACAACATTTCCCACTTTATCCCCTCACGCGCAGCACTGTGCAAAGGTTTTAGATTCTTATTCGTCATACAACACCATCGGGGAGGCGTCCGATCATTCCCAGATTCACCCTGAAGCCTGACACCAGAACCATAATGAACTATGTTCAGAGACCAGATAAAAAAACAGGAGTCTTGCAGCAGATGCTCCGGCCTCCACAGAGCCCTGATCTCAGCATCACGGAGTCAGTTGGGGATCCTGAATCGACAGAAGAACTGTGGCCGCTTCTCCAAGATGCTGAAACAACCTACCTGCCAGGTGCATTGAAGCACTGTCTGCAGGTGAACTGAGGAGACCTGCTGCTGGTTTAAAGGCAAAACTGATTTGAATTTTCTACACTCTGAATGAGGTTATTGAACAAATTAAAACAATTCATGACGTTATTTCTGAAAGAATCCTCACTTCCCTTTAAAGCATGAGGCTTTTGCACAGTGCTGTGTGTCTTTAAGAAGGTTTGACTATTACAATTGGCAGAGTGCTTCTACCTACAGCAAAATCCACAGTGCAGCTACGAGGGTAACCCGGGAGTCCGGGGCTGAAGCGCCAAACTGTCTCCAAATGGTTGAACAGTTTACCCTCTGAACAGGATGCCTGAGGAGCAAAATATACACATTAATTACAAGTGGTGTGATGGGCAGAATTTCATGTCCTGCAGCTGACTGCTACACTTGATATTGTTCTGTCTGCTGATTCATGACAGCAGGGGTCAGATGTATAAATCATACACATGCACAAAAACAGGCATACCACACATGTGGTGAGGCACGAACCCCATGCAAACTTCAGACCAGACATACACACAGTTTTCTAACAACAGATGGAACTGTAGTGTCTTCAATTGGCTTGTTTTGTTTTGTCGGCAGTCCAAAGCCTAAACATATCCAGTTTACTATTATGTGCCAAACAGTCCATGTGAAAAGTTGGACTCAGAATGTTTTGAATTTTTGCTTGAAAAATAAATGAAACAATTACTAAAACAGTTGGCAGTTAATTGACAAATTTGTCCACAGACATACAAGCAAAACGTCACAGATAAAAGTCTCAGAGGTCTACGATAAGAATATAACAGTGTTGTTGTATGAGGCCCGCTGCATGTAGCCAACACGGGTGGAAGGCGGTGCCTTACCTTGACCAGGTGTGGGGATACTGTAGTAACCAGAGAGGTGTAGTTCTCGACCACAGGAGGAAAGCCCACGGTCAGTTTGGCCTTACAGAATCCAGATCGCTGGAACACCACATCAGACTTCTTGCACCAGGGAACAAAGAGGCGGTAGTTTTCCACACTAGCCACCACATCATAGATCTCCTGCATGGAATACCTGCACCACCAAGGAAATGGGGGAAAGCTGCATGTCAGAAGATCAAGGCCAGAAACTGTGACATAGCACTAACCAAGGCTGGAACAAGGCTCATAAACCAGTAAAGTCTTAAATGGGACAATGAGGAAGAGAGAAAGTGTAATAAAAGAGAAAAGAGCATTAAAAATTAAAAATAAGGCAGGGTACAGTGAATGGGAGTCTCTAGGGTCTCCAACACTACAATTACATAACTGCATCACTGCAGTTGAGGGAAAATAGCTGCTGGTGCTTGTGTCTATTTATACAAGCAGATTTAGAGCTTCTGACCTCCCCATGTCACACGAGGACATTTAGTGCGTCATACAGAGAGGCATACGTAGAACTACAGATACTGTGGGCCAACAGCATCCAACACGTTTAGTCTTACATGTACTTGTGACTTCAAAATGTTCCAAGATTTTTAAGAATATTTTATTATATATTATTGTACTTGAACATACATTATGTTTATTTCTGTGAAGTCAAGTGAAACAAATGAGATTTTAGAGATTTGTTCTTCATTGACCCCTTTTTTTATTCCTGTGGCAATTTATGATTTTTAGGTTTAATTTCCTTGTTAGGATTCACAAATTGTCAAGTCTGTCTTTCTAAGAACAATATTCAGGTGCCCATATGTACGGTGCTTATCTTTTAAATGCACTGATGAGGTGCAACATGCACTGAAAAACATCACAAAGTTTAGCTGAAGTTAGTCCGAGTCAGACAAATGGCCTGGAAGAACAGGATGAACGATTACAGCAAGCAAAGCCTATTTCATTGTGCATATGAGCACCTGACCTGAGGACTTGTGAAGCGAGACCAGACTCGTAGACTCACCCAATGATGCGTCTCTCTGAGTACTCCTTCCTCCTGGACAAGGAACTGGTGAGGTTGAAGAAGCTGCGTGCAGGCAACGCAACGACACCGCGTCCTGGCGTGGCTGCACCCAGCAGGGGTGGCACTCGTGTCATCAGGATCCCACATGTCGACAAATATCTGCTGCTCAAAAAACAAACAATGACGACACAACAGAGTCAGAAAAACAATGAGCATTTGAATCAATACTGTAAACCTTCATGAACTAGTTAAACAATATGATTACCAATCATGTACTACTGTGGGTATTTTAAAGAAACTACATGTAGTACAAAACAGGGCAGAGAGTCTCTCCTGGTTTGTGTTAGAAGCAGATTACTGTAGACATTACTAGTGTTTAACAGAAATATTATAATGACAAAAATATTGTATCTAGTCTTAAATTATTGTTTAATGGATGTGTACTGAGAAGCGATTCTTCCTGCTCAGTCTCTGTCATTGTGATCACATTGATCATTAGAGATCAACAGATTTTTCTGAGCTTGTCTGTCTTTTCGTGTTTTATCTGATGGTATATGTACTGTTTTGTAAATGTACACAATGTTGTCCTAATTTGTTAAATGATGTCTATGTGTGTGCTCTGTTGTTACTGTCAGTCTGTGACTGCGAGCTGAGCATAAGTGGTGCTGATATGTACTGTCACTGTGTGTATTTGTACATGGACCCCAGGAAGAAATGCTTTGGTTATACAGAAGCTAATGAGGATCAGACAAACTAACAAATTCCATTTTGTTTAATGTGGAGCCATGCTTGTGTCCAACTGGTTAATCTAAGTTGAGTATTCCCTCTGTTTTTGGTCTCCGCCTTCTCCTGAGGGAAATATCTGCCCCTTTACCTGCTAAAAGCTCCATTATGTTCATCAGCTGGTCTCTAATATTAGCCTCTTACAGTGCCATTTCAGGGCTGATTATTGTGCCAATTTTCCACCACATTTTTCTGCATTGCACCGCTGGGGATTTACATTTTAATATCACTCGTAAGAAACAGAATCTGTGGCCATGATCATTAACATGTTATACACAAAGCACAACTCTGAGTCTGAATCATGTTGTAAATGTGCAGGACAAGCAAAAACATATCCCTACCCTGCTCATCCTCCACTCCTGATTTGAAAGCAACTGATACTGGTATGCTTTGTGTTTCTGATGTGTGTGTTAAATGCACAGTTATACAGTATTTCATATCTACACAAACTCTGGTGTTAATTAACCTATGACACCTATAACTGAAGAACAAAGTGGCAACATATTCCTGGAGAATAGGAGACTTTACATGGAAACCTTGCAAAACCTGCCAAACATTTGGCGTTTAAATAAAAGTGTCCCAGAAGTACAGACGCCAGTGAGAATGAAACAAGGTCAAGGGCAGTAGCATGGGCACATAAAACACCTTACAGCTGAACCACCTGGGCTGACTTATCCCTGCTAGGACTTCCTGCTCTCCTACATTCCTCTACACGACCTGTATGTTTGGCCTGAGGGCAGAAGTTGCAGGTTAATAATTAGGCATCAGCTGTATCACAATCACGTAATACGAGAATCATTTTCCAACAGCAGCCAGGTTTCATTTCACAGCCTCTCTGCAGGGTCCATGAGGCCCAATAGCACCAAAATCTGCACCTATGTCTAAGAAAAACCTTCAATAAAATATTCAAACCCACAACTGTTTCTTGAGCTGAAACGTCAATGTCAGTGGGTTAAAGGGATGTTTGTAGTTTAGACAGTTCAGTGTGTGACCCACCCAAGTTTCAATCTTTACTTTAAACTCTAGCTACAAGGAGCACCAGCAGTTTTCACTTGAAATAATGAAATGTGTCAGATGTGGCTAAAGGCGTGTGGGTATACATCAGAGAAACACATTAAATCCTCACATGTGAGAGGCTGGAACCAGTGAATATTTGGCATCTGTGTCTAAAAAACATGATTAAATCAATTATCAGACTAGTTGCTGATTAATTTTCAGTGGAAAATTCAGTGGACTAATTGCTGCAGCTTTAATAGCAGGTTCAGTTCTGGTTCTTGTTCCTCACCAGGCGCCAGTGGTCTCTCCCTGACACCGTGAATGGGAGGACTTCATTAATCCTGGCTTCTTCACTGCAGCCATAAGCATCAAACTGAACTGCTGCTTGTGACAAAAGCAGCCGTCAGGGTCACTGTCTCTGACTGGTGGGTTCATCACCTTTGGTATCCCGTTTCTCAATATATCTGGCACTGTGAGCACAACAAGGCATATATTTAACTAGCCATTATGTCACAGTTTAATGTGATATGACCTATCAGTGTCATTCTGTGATTCTCATAATGCGCTGCTTCAAATTCCTGCAACCACTTCACAGAGAGCCCATTCACTACTATCTGAACGTGATACAAGAACACATGGCACTGACTTCAACTGACTCCCCACACCAATGTAAGGATGTTTGGCATTGGAGGGACATCAGACCACAAAAGGGTGCAGATTCAAGACAAACCCAGCACATGATGCACAAAGAGGGGGAGTTGTAAGCTCGCAGAGTTTAATGACACAATGTTTTGATCATAACAGTGACAACTCTGCTGGCTAAAACACTGTCAATTCAACTTTTGTGTGCCTGTAATATTCAATGTACAGTAATCCAGCAACATATTATGCTGAAATAGGACATTCTGTCTTTTGGTACTTTAAATAAGTTTTGTTAATACTTTTGAACTTTTACACACAAGATTTACTTATAATAAAGCTATTTGACATGGTTGTATCAGTACTTTTACTTGAATAAAATATCAAAGTACTTCTTCCACCACTGCTGTAAAATGTCCTTTTAGTACTACATACATACATACTACATAGTACTACATTAGAATGTGTCGTAGACCATTAATTAAACCACAACCACTACTTGTGTGTTACTAATGTTGTGTTACTAGTTAAGTTTGTAATTGTTAGTTGCAAAATCCTACTACAATACTAAACAATTTTCAGTGCTGGGAGAAGTATTAAGATCCTTTAATAAGGAAAAGTAGCAAAACACTACTTGACAAGTAAAAGTCCTGCATGCATAACTACTTAAGAAAAACATTTAAAAGTATTATGAGCTAAATGTACTTAAAGACGCAAAGGTAAAGGTAGACAGAACACTCCATATGTGTTATATAATATTACTGGACGTTTTAAAAGACACCTTAGATTTTTAGTATTGCAGATGGTTGAGCTGAAAGTCATTTTAATGATTTCATATACAGCCTGGTAGTTCATTCTATGTCAGTGTACCATATTTTATGTTTACACTGATCTTTGTATATCAAGTCCTAATATACAAAGAAACTAATGGCTAAAGATGACATACATGTAACTGATGGAGTAAAAGGTACAGTACATCTTTGAAATGTAGGGAAGTACAAGGTAACACAAAATGGTAATACTTAGGCCAAGTACAAGAACCTCAAACTCCTACCTAAGTACAGTACTTGATTAAATGTACTTTGTTGCATTCCACCAATAAAAAGAGAGAGTTAATCAGTAGCAGGCTTAGAGGATTTGATGACTGATATAAAGTATTGATCCTACAGTGTAGAAATACAGTATATCATGTGTGAAGGGCTTTTAAAACCTTGTACAAACAAACTTTCACTTGATCAAAAGATGAGTACTTCTTCTATCACCGCTCTGTATTACAACTTAAAACCCTCCTTACAGCTGCATACAACCTCATTATAGTGTCTTTTTAAATATATGCAAGGTACTACTTATAAATACTAAATGAAGGGATTTAAAGTGTTACCACGTTGGTTAATCGTCTTTTTGCCAGAGGTGTTACTAGCTGTAGAGACCTAACGTCAGTTAGCATGTTTCCTGGCCTTAAAGTTTGATTCTATAATAAGTCAAACAAGGTCAGGAAATAGTTAAGTTCGTACATGTTGGCAGCTTAAACCGTACTGAATTCACTACTCAACAAAATCATTTCTAAGCTAAATGAATAATTTACCGACACAACAACCTGTGGCAACAGCTACCTTACTGTCTTTGGTGCGTCTATTACTCCAAAAACGTGCAGGTGTAGTCGTAAGTAAAAACGTGAAACGCTTACCTTAGGTTGTTCCTAGTCCGTATTTCTCGGTTAGCTGTCGAAGATAACTGTTTCATACACTCAGCTACTTTTCTCAAACTCCGACTACCTCTCGCCATCTTCCCTTCTTTGAAGAATCTCTTCTGTCGCCTCTTCCTAAACCTGCTTGACAGACAGTCAGGCATCAGAGCCGACACATCCGTCCCGCCTACAATGTTACGACCCCCGAATGGCGGCCTACCATTGGACAACCCATACACAATGAGATGTTTCCATTGGCCAGTTTTTCCGTTCGTCAGTATCGCGCATACACGAGCGCGCGCGTGCAGGACTGTCACGAGACGTTGGCTCGGGTTTCTGGCGGCCTGTGTTTGTAACTTTACACACATACGCAGTCAGTCACTGTGGGCACACGTAGTTAAAAGTAGTCAGTCTGATCCAGCAGTCCGGCTATAATTCCTCCTTGAAGATGATATTGTTTAGGTTTTGCTCAAACTGTTTAGAGAGGTATGCAATTACTGCTGGATCGTAGTAAAAGTAAAAAAATACTCATGCAGAATGGCACATTTCACTTGAAAGTATATCACATTATTGAATTATGATTATTGATGCAATACTGTGTTCATCATTTTAGGTTGCAGCTGGTGTAATTACTTTACCATCACTAATGTTACTATTGCTTGGATTATTTATTGCATGTTTTATGCATGTCTGTACTAGTTCTGAATTGCTTTTTGATTAAGTTATTTTAAGAAAGAATAAACTATCGCGGGAAAAAGTTATGAAACATTTGTAAACTGATCTGAGAACAGCTACAAGGAGAAGGAAGTTTGGGTAAACGCATTTCCGGTTTCAGATTCCGACAACTACCACCAAAATGGCGAAGATCGCCAAAACGCACGAAGGTAAGTTACTTGCAAATATATAATACATAGAATCCTTACCATGTTACCTTTCCACGGTATTATGTGTCATGAAACGTTGTAGTAAATGCTGGATTCTTTGCGGATATATTAATTTGTTGTGACAACGTGATAAGCAGCAGGCCGTGGTACGACACAACGCGGACAGTTTAGATAATGGCGCTGGTTGGTGCTAGCTTTTTAGCTTTAGCTAGCTAACGTTACCCGTGACAATTTTCCAGGGATTTGTGGACAAATAATATATACGGAACTTAGCCACCAGGCCAAACAACAGCGTGTTCAAATTTATCATTAGGCATATGTTTTACTGTAAACGTGTCTCTGGTAACACACGATTAATCTTTGTGCAACGTTAAACGCAAATCATGTGCCCATCGTTAACCCAGTTAGCAACATCTTCATTTAACAAGATGGACCACACGTTACATGTACGTTTACACATTTTTGTCATGCCCTGTTCAGCCCCACCGTCTGTGTGTCTTGTATAAGGTGCTGTTTTATTGTGTGAATTGTGTATTGATGAAATACTGTTCCTTCCGGTACCTAAATCCAATCAAGGTCTGATGCAGGCAAACAAGGCAGCAACAGCTAATCATTTTTAGAGGGATGAGCAGTAACTTATAGTTTATATGCAAGTACTAGCAAGCATTTTTTTTTTGTTCGTGTTTGAAACAACGAAATTTCTCATTGAATCGCGGGTCGTATTGTAAAGTGTTTTTGTGTTCTGAAGTAGGATGTTAAGTATGTAAATTCTCATTGTCTGTTGTCTGTTTCTTTATTCCCTGTAGATATCGAGGCCCAGATCCTGGAGATCCAGGGGATGAAGGCTACCCTGCTGGAGGATGGACAGCAGGGAGTGGGCCTTGACTCTACTGGCTTTTATGACCAGGAGATCTATGGAGGCAGCGATAGCCGCTTTGCTGGATATGTCACCTCCATTGCTGCCAATGAGCAGGAGGATGTAAGTATTTTCCTACCCAGGGGTGTAGGTACATTTTCCATTGTTCTTGGTTTGTAAACTACATATCAGGGCTGTTTTTAAGTCCAGGTCCCATCTCAAGATGTTATTTGCAAGTCAGAGTAATAGTAGCTTTCTCAGCATCTCACTGTTCAGTATGAAAACTACCATAGCCCAACAGCCAAAATCACACAAACTGCCTCTTTGTCATGGAAACAAAGCATTCAATGTCCAGATGCAAGCAGCAAATCAAAAGCATTTGTGTCAAATTGTTAAATTGTTAAATGAGAAAACCCAAAATGAAGGTGCAGCTGTGCAAGAAGCACATCTGAACTTCTGGGTTGCAAGGGAGAGCAGACGTTTACTGCTCCTCTTGTCTGTTCTACGATTTTTCACATCTTCTACATTTTCAAGTCTGAACAAATTCTACAACTATTAAAATGCCTCCAAGAGGGAAAAGAGCTAATAAATCAGAAGCGAACGAGGATGTTGAGGCAGAAGAGGATTATATTTCAGTGGCGCAAGTAACAGAGATGTTGAGTCAGCAGAAGCAGATGTACACCGCACTGTTGAGCCAACAACAAGACAACTTCAAAGGTTTTGTGCAACTACTTATGGAGACAAATAACAAGAGACTCGACGACATGACCAGAGAAATACAGGAGATAAAAACGAGTTTGCAGTTTACCCAGCGAGATGTGGATGTGATTAAAGCAGCCATGGGTGAACAGAAAATACAAACCAAGGAAACAAGGGAGGATGTCTACAGAACCTGTGAGAGTTTAATAGCCATAATGGATAAAATGGAGCATTTGGAAGTACAGTCCAAGTGAAAAAACCTGATCTTTGAGGGAATCAAGGAGTCAGCTGGAGAAAGCTGGACGGA